TGTCAGTTGATTGGGGGAGTTTGGAGCAAGTGGTGTTGTGGAGTAAAGTCTGCATGCTTCTTACACTCATTGAAAGTATATGAACCCACTTGGTGATCGGATTGGGAAGACGGATTTATAACACATTGTTTGTGAACTTTTTCAGCAGTTTTTTCACTTTCACCATATTTTCAGTGGAATGGACTTAATATTTTATATATAGTTATGACACTTTTATGTTATGTCATTATTGCAATTTTGTGTGCTGCCAATGGTTCAGATTCTATTGCAGGATGATGTTTTCTATGCATTCAGTTTAAGGCAGCAGCAGTATTTAGGTTAAGAGGGTATAATTGGTTTATTAAAACACTTATGATTTGCAGTGCATTATCACATTTTCATATTTCACTACATATTTCACACATTCTTATATATTTGTATTTAGATAAGTGTACATTTTTTTGGAGTAATATTTTTGGTATTTAGATTTTTTTTCTCTCAATTTTATTCTGTTGTATTGTTTTTTTCTATTCTATTCTTTTATATTCTGTTATTTTATTTTATATTCTATTCTATTCTTTTCTATTCTGTTCTGTTTTACTCTATTCTTTCCTATTCTATTTTATTCTATTCTATTCTTTTTGAAATTCGAATTTCGAAAGGCAGCTATATTCTTTTATTCTATTCTTTTCTATTCCTTTATTTTATATTCTGTTTTATTCTATTCTTGTTTTAGAATTTGATTTTGTTTTCAAATTCAATAATATAAATTTATAGTGCCGCGCTCCTATTTGCTTATATATATAACTTAATCCTTGGGGGTACATGAATTGATATCTGAAACAATACATAAATCACTGTGACTAGTGAATAAAAATAGTAATAATCAATAATAAATAATATATAATGATAGATCAATTGTGAATCACTATGACTGATAAATCAATTAAAAATAGATAAATTTAAATATGAATAGATCAACAACCTTCATTAGTGTGACTGATATCAATCAATCAAAAAATCCTTAATTAAATGTGACTGTAAAAGGATGAAACTAAGATAAATAAAATCCTAAATTTGTGCCACTCTGATCTGATGTGATCACTCCATCTATTTTGTGCAAAAGCATACATAAATGTGCAAGTGCAAACAATAAAGTTCATAAAGTAGAGTAAAAAGTCTTTCAAATAAGTGCAATGTGCAGGTGAATTCCTTATTCCCTCTCGCCGGGTGCTTAGTGGTCTCCCTATGCGCTCACCTTAGTATTTGCCTAAATAAATTCAGGCAAATAAGCTTTTAATCCTTCCAGGATTGATGGGATGATACTCTTATGTAAGATGTTCCAGAAGATGGGTGTGGATCTATAAGGATCCTCCTGTACTCTCCTCTTTCTCCTTGTGCAGCTGCTCATAAATGGGTATTTTTACCAGCTCTCTAGGGATCTCCTAATTCCCCTCCTGGGGTCACCTCCTTCTCAGGTCCTCCTTTCACCAGCATGGGGAATGTGGGTCTCCAATACTGCCACATCCAGCAACCTCTCCGATCTCCTTCAGACCAAAGGGAACGTCTTATCTTTAGGTAAGGCTTTGTTTTGCTCACTTAATTTTATGTGAAAAAGCAGAGCAAGATAAAAACTAAAAAAGGAGGATTACATTTCTTTATATTATTATTATATAAAAACGGCATCATGCTATGACACCCATGACCTACAGTGGGGATCGAAAGTTTGGGCACCCCAGCTAAATATTTGTATTAATGTGCATAAAGAAGCCAAGGAAAGATGGAAAAATCTCCAAAAGGCATCAAATTACAGATTAGACATTCTTATAATATGTCAACAAAAGTTAGATTTTATTTCCATCATTTACACTTTCAAAATAACAGAAAAACAAAAAAATGGCGTCTGCAAAAGTTTGGGCACCCTGCAGAATTTATAGCATGCACTGCCCCCTTTGCCAAGCTGAGACCTGCCAGTGTCATGGATTGTTCTCAATCATCGTCTGGAAAGACCAGGTGATGTCAATCTCAAAGATTTTAAATGCCCAGACTCATCTGACCTTGCCCCAACAGTCAGCACCATGGGTTCTTCTAAGCAGTTGTCTAGAAAAATGAAACTGAAAATAGTTGACGCTCACAAAGCTGGAGAAGGCGATAAGACGATAGCAAAGCGTTTATCAAATGTCAATATCCTCTGTTCGGAATGTAAATAAAAAATGGCAGTCATCAGGAACAGTGGAAGTTAAAGCAACATCTGGAAGACCAAGAAAAATATCAGACAGAACAGCTCGCAGGATTGTGAGAAAAACAATTCAAAACCCACGTTTGACTGCACGATCCCTCCAGAAAGATCTGGCAGACACTGGAGTTGTGGTACACTATGCCACTATAAAGAGATACTTGTACAAATATGGTCTTCATGGAAGAGTCATCAGAAGAAAACCTCTTCTACGTCCTCACCACAAAAATCATCGTTTGAACTTTGCAAATGAACATATAGACAAGCCTGATGCATTTTGGAAACAAGTTCTGTGGACCGATGAGGTTAAAATTGAACTTTTTGGCCGGAATGAGCAAAGGTACGTTTGGAGAAGAAGGGGCACAGAATGTAATGAAAAGAACCTTTGTCCAACTGTTAAGCATGGGGTTGGATCAATCATGCTTTGGAGTTGTGTTGCAGCCAGTGGCACAGGGAACATCTCACGAGTAGAAAGGAAAAATGGATTCAATAAAATTTCAGCAAATTTTGGATGGTAACTTGATGCCATCTGTGAAAAAGCTGAAGTTAAAGAGAGGATGGCTTCTACAAATGGATAATTATCCTAAACACACCTCGAAATCCACGGGGGATTACATCAAGAGGCGTAAACTGAAGGTTTTGCCATGGCCTTCACAATCTCCTGACCTCAACATAATTGAAAATCTATGGATAGACCTTAAAAGAGCAGTGCGTGACAGACAGCCCAGAAATCTCAAAGAACTAGAAGACTTTTGTAAGGAAGAATGGGCAAAAATACCTCAAACAAGAATTGAAAGACTCTTGGCTGGCTACAAAAAGCATTTACAAGATGTGATACTTGCCAAAGGGGGCAGTACAGGATATTAACTCTGCAGGGTGCCCAAACTTTTGCAGACGCCATTTTTTTGTTTTCTGTTATTTTGAATGTGTAAATGATGGAAATAAAATCTAACTTTTGTTGACATAATATAAGAATGTCTAATCTGTAATTTGATGCCTTTTGGAGATTTTTCCATCTTTCCTTGGCTTCTTTATGCACATTAATACAAATTTTTAGCTGGGGTGCCCAAACTTTCGATCCCCACTGTATATATACAGAACACATACAGTATATCCATGCAGAGAAAGCTACACATCTCATTGTTCTACTACTATGTCCTACAGTGCTCCTCACATTTTTAGTGAACTATTAGTCGATGAAGACAGTGGAGGGCAGCATTGTACAGAAACAAAAGAACATCTCTTAAAGTTAGCTTTAAACTGTTGGAGATTTGAGGATTACTTTTTGTAACTCAACACAAACTGGGATTTTTACATTACAAGACTGCCAAACTGCACATTGAGAGCAGGCTGAGGATAAAATGAGTATTTCTACACTATACATACTCTGCCATTACATGTATGTAATTGATATATGTGTAGTGTCCTGCTAGGTAGTTAGGGGTAGCTAGAGTTCTGTTGTTGGTTGGGAGAACTGGGTGGAAGCCTGGGTGTGGTAGTCAGAAAGGTCATATTTTGGTCGGGAGCTGGAGGTTCTGCGAATCGGCTCTCTGGGATTTCCCCCTGCACTAGAGCTTTGGAGAGAGTTCTAGAAGCCGTGAGAGGGAGTGAGCAGTGGTTGGTTTGCAGTCTCAAGGGATCCTGGCCAATCCCCAACAGGAGGCGTGGCTGTGGCTGGAGTGCGGGAGCCTGGGAGGGAGCCCAGATGTAGAGGGGCTCGCCTCCAGGCATGGAAGCTGAAAGGAGGAAAGCTCAGCACCTCATTGGCTTCCAGAAAGAGGACCAGCAGAGAAGGAGTGGCCCAGCTCGAAAGCCTGGTAGCAGCCACCAACCTATCCGCTCACAGACGGTGAGCGAGTAAACCTACAGCCCCCTGGGCCAGTATGGGAAAAGAGCCCTTCAGTAGGAAACTGGATTAGCTTACTACCTGTTGTGGTCTTACATAGACAGCTTCCTTCAGACAGCTGGATTAGGAGAATCTAGGGTGTGGGGTGGTACTACGGGAGGTGCAGACTAGCTCTCCAAGGAGAGGATTTTTGTCTAGAGACTTGTACAAAGTTCCAGGAAGCTGTCCTCAGTTGCTATACCTTTGGGCATCCTATACACCCCTTACCCCATCCAATTTCAATTCACCTAATAAAATCCCCCCAGAAAACCAAGCTCAAGGACCGGTTACTGTCTCCTAGATGCAAGTCTGTGCTGAAAATGCATGTTGCCTGGCTGTGCAGGGCTATAGGGGGACCCAAGACTGATTCCTAAGGGGTTGCAGTGCTACATATGCTAATGTAAGAATGTTTTAAAAAAAGTATACATTCAGCTATCCTTGTAGTTCTATTCTGTCTGCAGAAGCTCAGGAATCTGAAAGTGCTGACTGATCACCAAGGACAGGACTGCCAGGATTATAGACAATTTCTTTGTAGCATATATCAGGTATTACCTAACCAGTGGATGATCTGTATTTGTAAATGGGATGGAGTTACTTTTCAGTGTAAGTGCACTGTCAATACTGACAACATATATGGCCTATTATAAACCCCAGCTATATCTGTAATGCAAATTGATTGTCTGTCCTCAGGTACATAAGGAGAGGAGGGGAGCAAGTAACATTTTACATCAACAGCTACCAATTTTGAAACAATGGATGCAGTTGTGCTCTTTCTTGCAATTTTCCCCTTAAGTATGAGAAATAATTTTATATATATATATTGATAAAACATTGTCTTTAGCTGATTAATTGAATCATTGGTTATTGTGATTTTGTTTTGCAGGTGTCCTCTCCCAGACTTTACAAGAATCAGGCCAAGGAATCGTGAAACCTTCACAGCAAATAAAAATAACCTGCACAGTGTCTAGGTTTGAGTTGTCCAGATGGGGTGTACACTGGGTTAGACAACTGCCTGAATCAAAATTGGAATGGATTGGGGTTATATGGGGTGGTGGTAGCACTAACTATGCTGATTCACTAAAAAACAGACTCTCGATCACCAAAGACAATGCAAAGAAAGAAGTCTACCTGCAAATCAACGCAGCAGAAAATAAAGATTCTGGAACATATTACTGTGCAGGAGACACGGCAACAGAAAGTAACTGACAGGCCACTCAATTTCCTATTTCATATCAGTGTGGTAACCCACAAAGGAAGAGGAAGTGTATTGCTTTTCTGTTTTATTACTATATCTTGAGAAAGTATTTTTATAACATTTCACTACAACCTCCAAAAAAGCATGAAAAGTTCTGAAAACGGTAATTAGTATGAAATAGTTTTAAAAGGTTTAAATAGTTTTTTTTATCTTGGGACAGCTAGATAAATAGTATTATATTTGTTGTGATCATAGCTATAAATAATGTTATGTTGGCCTCTGTTCTTACATTTTAGCTGGATGATGATCTGAAGAGGCTGGCTTGTCTGGTATAATACTAGTCACATATTACCACAAGATTGAATCACATTCATTTGAAAATAATGCCTTAATCTTGCTTTAGTGAACATAAAGCCTTACTGACGGTGTGGATTCTCACTTCATTTCATCACAAACTATAGCAACAGTCTGGAGGGGGCTTTCTTAATTTTATATGTATTTATTTATTTATTTCAGGTACTTATGTAGCGCCGTCAATTTATGCAGCACTTTACATATATATATTGTACATTCACATCAGTCCCTAACCCTCAAGGGGTGTACAATCTAAGGTCCCTAACTTACATTCATACATACACATACTAGGGCCATACAGGAACCAATTAACCTACCAGCATGTCTTTGGAGTGTGAGAGGAAACTGGAGTACCCAGAGGAAACTCACACAGTCACAGGGAGAACATGCAAACTCCAGGCAGGTGGTGCCATGGCTGGGATTCAAACTAATGACCCTAGTACTGCCAGGCGGAAGTGCTAACCATTTAGCCACTGTGCTGCCCTAATTTTGTAGACCTACAGTACATTTATTTGTGTGATTAAGAGTAAGAAACTTAAGATGGAAGTTAATTACAGTACATGGGATCTGAAGTCATGTGGGAAGAGAAGCCGCGGAGTATCATACTAGAGCAGCCTTTCTCAACCAGGGTGCTGCATCATTCTGGTTGAGAGAGGCATTCATATCAGAGCTGTGTGTTTGTGTGTGTGTCTCTCTCTCTTTACCCCCGGTTCACACCTATGCAGCCATGGGGGCCGTGTTTTGCTCGGGCACGAGAGCCCATTCACACATTCCTGACACACAGTAATATGAAGTTTTAGACAGAGATGCCTTGAGAAAATGTTTTTAAAGGTGCCCAGATTGGAAAAAGGTTTGAAAAACATAGTGCTAGAGAGCAAACAGGTCCATCGTCCATAGATGTAAGCAGTGATCCTTCCATGAACACTAATAAAGTGTTACTAAACCCACAACAGTAAAATCAGTCTGTATATGCAGTAAAGCATGTCTGTTATACTCACTGTGGAACCTAAGGGGTAATCCTCTACATTGTGTAAAAAAGCTGTTTGATCCTGTCTTTTCTGATCCTCCAATTCTTCCAATGCCCCCCTCTTATCTCCTGATAAGACATATCATATGGAGACACTCTGCAGATGCTCAGTTTGGTGTGTATTGCTAGAGAGTTTTTCTTGGGAGAGTGCATGTGATCAGCACAGGGCCAATCAGCATTGTCCAAACAATCTGCATCCTCCTAGAGCAGAATGAAAACTACTCTTGCAAGCTTTAACCAGTGCTTTGCTGAACACTGATAGAAGTCACAAGACTGCTCTAACTGCTGATGAGAAAAGGTATTTAGCAGTTTATATTTACTAAAATAATTGCATTTCCATGTTCTGTGTACTGTGAAAGACCAGATATAGTGAACGCAGGGCCCCTGGGTTTAGTAACTCTTTAATGGGTTTTGAAAGCCATCTTCAGTAAGACCCAGTCATCTGAAGAGTGGGTAAAGCCTAGAGTGTGCTCTCCTGGAGAGACAGGAGGAAGTGTACTTTCCTTAAAAAGGGATGTAGTATGTTTTTTTTTTTTTGTAGGTAAATGAAACACATGTTGCAAATTACTTGGGGACGGGGATGTACTAAACTGCATATTGGGATGATGGGATGATTGGATTATTGGCTGCAATGCTCAACACTGTCACTAGGTGTATATTTTTACACACATACTGTATATGGTAATAACTCTGTTGTTACTCAAAATATGCTTCTTTTCTGCAGTGGTTGATACTGTATTGCAAGAAGTAGTTGTAGCAATCGTGCGCACAGAGATAGACGCGGTCATCCATTTTGCATCTCTCCCAAATCAGCTTTCCTCATCCCCCCCTCCCTCTCTGTTGAGTGGCATGCGGTCTGTTTGATGCAGATCACAGGCAGCACACTCATTGGGAGGGCGTCATGGTTATAAATCTCACAACTAGCTGGTGCCCCTCTGTCTACGAGACTGTTGCTGGAGAAGGGGTCGTAACTCCATAAACCGAGCCCTCGCTGAGCTTCAAAAGAAATTCCAGGGGGTTGTAAAAACAGACTTAGATTTTAAAACCAAGTTTTCCATATAATTTTATATCTCCAAATAGGAAACAATTACAGAAACATAGAACACATATTCGGATGGCTCCCGTTAAGACAAGTCGCCTGGTATATTACACCCCCTATCTGACATACACAGGAGAGCAGAAAATCATATCTCCTTAACCAGTCAAGCAGATATTTCATATTGTATATCTAACCGTTCAGCAGATGATTCTGGGTATTAATCTACTTGTGGATAGAATGTTATATGTACCTAGAAAATGTTATTGGCCATAGTATAATTTGGGAAGGCTTTGGTCAAAGCCTGAGATCCCCGTCTACACAACCCCCTCCCCAAATGAGGTGATTGGTTCTCTGTTTCAGGAAGACACCTTGTGGAGTTCCTAGAGAAGCTAAGCTGAGTTGAGTAAGTTGAAGAATTCTCCCTATTTTTACATCCGAACCAACTTTGGGAGAAAATGCCCTTTTGCTCAGAAATCTTGAAAGCTGCTTAACCCAAGGCTTTTGGCAAGTACTTTATCTATCTAAATTCCTTTCTGTTATCTCTTTGCTGTGCTATTGCTTTCTGTATATTTATATATATATTGGCTACATCTTTTTCTGTAAATATTTTTTAGTGCACCCTTTTGACCTTTTAGTAATAAATATTACTTTCTGAAAGTGTTGAACTGTTTCTAAAGCTCTTTAATGCAAACTCAGAACCCCTGCCTCTGAAAAGCAATACTGTGTGTGTGTTTTAAACTTCGGTATATCTCTCCCTGCGGTGACAGTGGTATACCGGCGATTATTTAAACATCATAGTGTTATTGCTGATATTGCCGAGTTTCCTCTTTCTCTGTACAAAAAGGAGGTGGTGGCAGTGTGAAGGGTTAATTGTGTAATTAACCTGACCCAGTAACAATTGCGCTCAGGCTGCAGGTACATCGATTGTGGTCCATTAGCTGGAAAATCATTGTGCAGGGTGCAGCTGGGCATGGCATTGTTATGCTCGTGACAGCGCGGTTTTAGATTGGCTAGTCCTTCGGTCACGAGTTTGGTGAGAAGGGCTGGGGTCTGACGCTGCAATCGTCACATGTTGGCTGGCAGCGTACATGGGATAGTTTGCGTTAGAGCTTCAGTGCATTGTTAGGAATTAACTCTGCACTGAAGGATTGTAACCTTTGTGGAAACAGTCCTTAGAAACAAGTGATGCATATATTTATATATATATATATTGTGACAGTGTGGTGATCTGTCACCCAGGATTCTCAACAAGGCAGGTTGAGGGGCTCCGGGGTAAGTGTTTGATACAGAGGAAAGTGGCTTTTCACTTTCCTCATTTGTTTGTAAGGTCCGTTTTGGGGACCTGGAGCCTGGAGATTTCAAAGCGAATTGGGAGGAATGAAATCTCCAATCCTGGGACCAGGTTTTGGAAATGGCCATGATACTGATTGGTCAGGTGTGCAGGGCAATCTTCTAGGGTCAGGACCAGGGTTCTGGGCTCCACCCCAGAAGACAGGAGTCTGGAGGGCTCCACCAAGGAGAGGTGGAAGCCGGACTAGCTGTGTGCTAGTGCCATAACTTGGGAAGAGTCTGCAGGAGACAGACATCAAACTGCGTACAAGCCAGGAAGCTGAATCTTTGTTGTTTTTGCTTGATGATGGATACCCCTGCGTGGGTAGAACTTTTGTGGAACTTTTCTTTTAAATAAAATTGGGCAAAAAGTCCCCGAAAAATAAAGAAGCGAGTGGCTGCGTGCTTTGAAAACTCTACCTTTGATGCGAGTTCCCACATATGGTGGAGAATGCAGGCAGAACGAGAGATCCCTGTGATGAAGTAAGTTCATTTGTTATATGAACTGTGTTTGGTGTATAAGTCTCTACTATCTGTGTGTGCAGGTGAGGAGAACCTGCTAGAGAAAAGGACTTTGCCTTAAAGAGACAGTGTTCCATAGTGTTGCTGAACTGTGTAAGACACTGCTGTGTGCATGACTGCAAAGATGGGGTGGTCAAAACATAAAAAGGAGGCAATGTTTGCTGAAGCGAGAGATAGAGCCCTGTGGCTAGGGGGTTATATACCGCATGCCCCAGCCAAGCCGGGAAATTTAAATGTGGGTGAATCTGCTGTGGACTGGTGCAAGCGGCATCTGGCAGCATTGAACGAACCTAAAGAGGAAAGCAAGCCAACCTGCAGTTAAACCAGTAGCTGTTGTGAAAAATGTGAATGTGTCACGGCTTGAGAGTTGGTCCAGCAGAGAGAAGCCTATGCTATGTGCAAGGAGAGGGGCTGACCAGAGGCCAGGACCAAGAGTGAAGGCCCATAGTAACACAGAGGAGGCCAGTCGGGCTGTCTGTGTACAGGGGGCTATGTCGTACAAGGATCATGGCAAGTGGTATCCAGAGGAGCCAATACAGCATGTTGGAAAGAGCCAGCAAAGTTCTGCTTGGAGAGTGCAATCTCCCATGGCGACCAGAGAAAAAATATTGCCTGGAAGGAGGAGCTGCATGGGAGATGTGGCTCAGTATCCCAATAGAGATAAGTGTGGAAATGTACCCTGCCTGGAATGTGGCCAGTGGGGGCATGGTATCTTTTCCTGTCCCAGACTCTGGAATACCACTGATACTGGGAAAATGTCTTCAACTGCAAGCCCAGATTCTTGTTTTAAAATGTTGGCAGCCATCTCTGGTAACAGGGAGGAAGTACCTGTTGGGCCTGCAGGGGGTGCCAGAGAGTCCATGGAGCCTATGAGGGCGTCTGTCATTTCACCTTGGGGCAAGGGAAAAGTTTCCAAGGACAGTGCAGTTGAGGATGTATTTATGAGATGACGCACTCAAATGAAGATAGCGACACCTACTACTGTGGTGAGTAAGACTGTGTGTGATAAAACCATGGCTGGGACTGTCATGTTGAGAAGGACTGGTTATAAGACTGTCCATTCTGATGTGGGAGTGACCACAGTTAGTTGGGCCACTGAATTGTGCTTTTGAGAGTGATTTTCCCTGTGCAGTGCCTTGTACAGTGGGGAGGTAGGAGTTAAAGTAAAACCTGTGCATGGTTCTCAAAAAGAAAGTGATGTCACTAATGTGTGCCAGTTGCAGGTTGGTAGGGGGATAGTACAGCCCACAAGAACTAGAAATGCTGATAATGTTGGTGATGATGAGAAATGTACGGCTGTTGGGTAAACCCTGAGCTCTTGCAGTGCAAAAGCTGTAATTACAGATGGGTCGTTTCCCATAGCAACTGGTGGTCAGGCAGCACAGGTGTCCTTAGAAATCTCCATGGGTCTTCGTGTATTGGAGCCGGAGGTTGCCCTGGACAACTGCGATGTCACTCTGGTGGAGCAGAGTGGGACTGCACCTTGTCATAGGAGTGTGTTGGTGCAGTCTAATAATATGGAAAGTGTTCAGGTGAACAGCGGGTTAATGCAGCCTGGCAAAATTGCAAATGTGTGGGTAATTCAGGAAGCACCACCAGAGCAAAGTGGTGGATGTGACGTATTGCAACCTGCAGTTGGAAAACAGGTGTTACCCAAGACTGACATGATCTAAAGTGATTCGTGCAATGGATCTGCAACTAAGCCCGTCTATTCTTATGTGTCTCCTTGGGCGGATGGATCGGTGCTGAGGAGCACTGGCAAATTGAGCACATATACAATGGATTGGGATAGTTGGGGTAAAAGGCTAATCTCGTTGATCGATGAGGCTTTTATGCAAAAAAATAAGGTGGACACTGTTTCTGCTGTGCCTATAGATAAGGGCGTGTATACAGCAGAGACTTTGTCTGTGACCCACAAAAGTGATGTTGGCATGGAGTGTCAAAATGATGTTGTCGAGCTTCCGGTTCCGGCGCTGATGCTGTGAGGAGGTGAGACCCGCGGCTCCCGGGATCCCCGCATATAAAGCCGGCATTCTGCGCAGGGGACTCCTGTCAGCTGCTCCAGGAGCTCCCCACTGGCCCCCCCGCACGATCCTCGGTCCCTTCGGCATGGAGCGATTCCTCCTGCCGAATCCACAGGGCTCAGGTCCCACCACGAGGGGAGAGGGATGCGGCTCTCCCCCTCCTGCAGCCAAGATGGCCGCCGCCCATAGCATATCAATGGACACAGGCACAGAGGCTGCAATAAACGCTGGTGCAGATGTACACACCCTCCCTGCACACAGTGATAATATTATACCAGCCCTGACCTCTACTCCTGGCACCTGTAGTTCCACAGAAATATATGACCAGATTGCACAAGCAGTTGCTGCCATTCTACTGCCCACAATCACACAAGCTGTGGATCATGCTGTGGCCACAGGCATTGAACAGATCAGAAAAGACATAGGTGATCATAGTAAACGTTTAACTGAAGTGGAACAGCGTCTGTCAGATTTGGAGGACGATGTTCACTCGCTGCGCTCAGGTGCACTTCAAACCAATCGTACGCACCAATCCATCCTAGACAAGCTGGATGATTTAGAAAATCGCTCACGCAGAAATAATCTGCGCATAGTGGGCCTTCCAGAATCATTTTCAACCGGGGTGCTTCCAGAATTATGCTCCACACACGTATACCCTCAGCTCTAGGTCTAACCACTTTTGTCAGGTCGAGAGAGCTCATCGCCTGGGGCCGCCTTCGAATGACCGCCGTACACCGCGATCGGTGATAGTCAAGTTTCTCAACTACGCTGATCGAGTGGCTATTCTTAATTCTTTCCGCAATTCTCGATCCCTACAAGTAGACGGTCACAAATTACTCCTATTTGCCGATTACTCGCAAGAAGTATCCCGCAAACGTAAGGCCTTTCAGGAAATATGTGCCACGCTCCACCAAAGGGCTACAAATTCACCCTGGCTTATCCGGCTACTCTCCGCTTTACTACACCTTCGGGTGATACAAAGTCTTTCATCCACCCTGAAGAAGCCGCTCAATATCTACAAGATTCTTTGATGGCTACGGATGGTGTGCCGTCTCCTCACCCTCGCAACTCGGGCCCTAGAGATCAGCGAAGCCCTCGCAAAGATCCACCGAAACGCCCACGTACTAACTTTGCTCCCTCTAAATCTCGCCAATCCTGAGCTGGCGCACTCTCTCAGGCGCTATACGGTTTACCCCACGAATTGGACCACCTGCCTTGTTTAACTGAATTTAAGTTTCTTGTGCCTTTAGCTATTATCTTCAGTCCACAGATAGCTATACCAGTTGTTAGAAAGCAATAATTTAGTTGGTCCTGTGGTACTTTCCTCTCATTTTGCTTGATAGCATATACATATACTGACTGTGTCATCCCTTCTCTGTGCCTTGCCTCGACCACAGTTCCGCTCTGGTCATTCGATTTGTTGAGCCTCTTCTCCCTTTGGCGATGCCATTTAGGCAAGGGGGTCATGCTCCCCTGCCCTCTCAACAACTTCAATGAGTCACTGCTGCAGATCACTACTCTGCTATTTCCCGGACACGCTGGTCGCAGTACAGGGACAGCATGCAGATTTATGTGAAGTCCAATACACTGTTATGGTTTTTTTGTTTGTTTTGCTCTTCTGATAGGCCCCAGTTGGGCCACCATGTTCCACTCTCTCTCTCCCTTCTTCTGCTCTCCTTCCTTACATTTTTCTGGAGAATCACCCCTTCCTTGGGAGTCGACCATACTTCTCCAGAGATTGGGCGGTAATGGGCGGATAGCTGGCTCCACCCTTCAAAACTGTAAGTCCACTACCTTTGTATTCACCTCATATCATGTGACCTAATGATTCGTATTTATTCTTGGAATGTCAAGGGCTTAAGATCACCTCATAAACGAATGGCTATTCTCCGCCATCTTCGCCGACTTAGAGCAGATGTAGCATTACTCCAAGAAACACATTTAGGCCAATCTGACTTTGTTCGTATGAAGAAACTTTGGGTAGGACACGTTATAGGTTCTCCCTCACTCAATAATAAAGCAGGTGTGCTCATTCTGATTCACAAAAAGCTCGCACCTGACATAATCTCGGTAAACACTGATGAGGCAGGCAGATTCCTAGCGGTACACCTCAAAGTAGGCTCTCAATCATTGGTCCTCACCAATATTTATGCTCCAAACTCACCGTCAAAACAGTTTTTTCAAGACCTGTCCTCAAAGCTGTCCGCCTACATACATCTACCTTTAGTGGTCGGAGGGGACTTCAACTCACTTATGAATGCCTATGAAGATAAGTCAAAATCACTAGAACACAATCACCGCCCACTTGCGGAGTCCCAATCAACACTCACACTACTGTCTACATTTGCGGAAGCAATGCAACTAACAGACATTTGGCGTTTAGCCCACCCCGATGGGAAGGAATTCACCTTCTTTTCTCCGGTACACCATTCGCTTTCCAGAATAGACTATTTTTTTTTGCAATTCTATTGCTTTGCAATACGCATCTTCCTCAGATATACATGACATAGTTATTTCGGACCATTCTCCCATATCCATAACCCTCAACTATCTCCACAACACACAATCTCACAAGACGTGGCGCTTTCCTTCTTTCTTAGCAAATAACCAGGAGGTGTTACGTCAACTCCAAGATACTTGGGCAGACTTCCAGATCACCAATGCAGCTCACTTATCCAATCCCTAACCTATTTTGGGACACAGGAAAGGTGGTTTTACGTGGTAAAACCATCGCCTTTACATCTGCATATAAGAAAAAGGTCGCTCTAAAATACACAGAAGCTAGTAACCGACTCCGACAGACGCAAAAAAATTTGGCTGACTCCAACACACATGAACACAGGAAAGCTTGGCTAGAGGCAAAACACCAATTTGAAACATGGGCAACAGCACAAGAATCCATGCACCAATCACATCTCGACTTACAGTATCATAAATTTGGCAACAAGCCGGGCAGACTCCTGGCTCGCTTGTGCCGTAAACCGTTTACTCCTACACAATTTACCTCCCTCAAAGACTCTCAGGGTATATTGAAACACTCCCCTGAAGAAATTGTTTCCATATTGGAAAGTTTCTACACTAAACTGTATGGCCCCGACCCTATTG